AGGCAAAGTGTTCATTAGCGTGCAGAGTATCCTCCACCTTACATTGGAGTAGGTAGCATGACGGATGAAGAAAAGCAGTCACTCAATCCGGCTCAAGTTCAACTGGCAGCCTGCGAAAAACTCGCTCGCCTGCTATGAACGCACCACACGCACCGCATCTGCGGCATAGATGAGGCAAACACATGGAAAAACAGCCAAGACCAGCAAGTCACGATTTGGGGCAGCCGAGAGCTTCGCTACCCCAACAAAGGTAAATTCAGGAAGAAGTAGAGACTCTTGACTAAGCGATTGCGCAATTTCCAACGAAACGAGGTCACCGATAAGGCACTACGATGAAACGTGACCAACATAAGCAGGTCATCCTTCACGGATGAGATTGAGTAGGCAAAGCCTCCACGTGAGTTCAGCATGCCACATTTCACATCTTTCAAAGGGGATGAAGACCCGGATAAACACTTAAAGCATTACCGAAGTGCAATGATCCTCTATCGAAACAACGATGATCTCATGTGTAAGATATTCACCACCACTCTACAAGGTGAAACGCAAGATTGGTTCTACACCCTGCCACCACAATCCATCCAGAGTTTCAACAAACTTTTTTTGGTTTGCACCAAAGAATATTCATCCTATTGCTCGATCAAAAAGAAGTCCGACCATTTGTTCAATGTCAAGAAGAACCCAAAGGAGTCGCTTCGCGACTAAGTGAAGAGGTTTAAAGCAGAGAAGGCAAGGATGGTCAGATACAACGACTCGATAGCTAGAGCAGCCTTCCAAAAATGACTTCCAGCAGACCACCCACTATTCAGAAAATTGATCATGAAATAAGATCTAACTCTGGCAAAGAAGCATGCACTTTGGGACGAGACTCGCTAATGCACATTTAAGGACTTGAAGAAGTATCTGACATCACCTCCTTACTATCCAAACTGGAAGCAATTGAGGACTTATTCGCATGTTTTAACGATATCTAAAGCAGCAATAAGCTCTACCATCATGCGAGAAGAGTTAGGGGCCCGACTACCTGTATTCCACAGTCAAAAGCTCTCCTCGATGCTATCATAAATTCACAAGTTAACTTTGGCGATAGTTATTTCAACCCGGAAGCTTAAGTTTTACCTTCAAATGCACGCAATCATCCTTATGACGCACTATTCCGCCCAATCTAAACGTGCGACAATAAAGGCGTAGACCCTGGCAGATGCAAAGTTTTCTTACGAACGCAACAACTCGGCTTAAAAGACACGCCAAAGGCAGACGAACACTGGAAGGACAAACTCAAAAACAAGTTTTGTCCTCGTCGCCCCAAAAGATTCTATATAGTAGCAACATGTACCCACAGTTAAGCACCACTTCCTGCTACGTGTCACACGGCCCCAGCCAACAAAGCGGCCCAACGATGCCCCGGAGGTAGCCAAGCACGCCCTAACCGCGCATGCTCCACTCGAGGGAGACTTCTGGCATTTGCATGTCCACAACGCATCCAACTACAAAGGTTTGAGAGCAGGCATAGTCCTTGTCACCCAAACGGTTCGATGCTTGAACAGGCAATCACTCTAGGCTTCAAAGAATCCAACAACGAAGTAGAATACGAGACCCTACTTGCAGGCCTCCTAATGGCATAAAACTTGGCAGTGAAAAAGCTCGCAATTCATTCTAATTCCCAGCTAATCACTAGCCAAACTACTTGAGGTGTTTCAGACTTACACCCTAACTCAAGTTCCACAGGCAGACAACGCTCACGTGGATCCATTAGCCTGCCTAGGCTCCGCCCTCGACCACCAACTCAAACGTTCTATTCCGGTGGAGTATCTAGATGAGCCAAGCATATAGACAAAACCAGTAGCCGAGGTGTCACAGGTTAGTACAACTCCAAACTGACAAGATTCCATTGTAAACTACCTGGTCAATGACACATTCCCCATGAAAAGATTGGAGTCTAGGAAGCTCCAAATCAAAGCAGCACACTACTACATGTGGAACGGCATTCTCATCCGAAAATTCTACACCAAATCACATCTTCACTGCCTAGCGCCTCCCGTTGACTTGAAGGTTCTAAGCTCAATCCACAAAGGCGTTTGTGGAAATCACTCTGGAGGTCAATCCTTAGCACATAAGGCTCTTAAAGCATGCTACTACTGGCCTACCATGCACCAAGACGCTAAGGAGTTAGTACAAAAGTACAACTACTGCAAACACTAGAAGTCGGTACCAGCACTGCCTGCCAGCGAGCTATACCCACAGACGAGTCCTTAATCGTTAATACAGTGAGCAATCCACCTGGTAGGGCCTATGTCGCCTACTACTGGGGGCAGAGGCATGAAGATCGTGGCAACCGACTACTTCACCAAATGGGTAGAAGCAGAGCCCAATGATGACCACGACTCAGATGAACATAAAACACTTTATATGGAGGAACATCATTTGCCGATTTGGCATCCCTCAATCCATTGTCACCTACAACGGCCAAGATATCCTTAAGGCAATAGGTGGACGGAAGCATCTAACAAGATAATTCGACTACCTCAAGAAATCCTTCGCCAACAAGAAGGGAAAATGGACAAACAAACTCCCTGGATGCCTATGGGCATATCGCACCACCAAAAAACAAGCAACCAGATAGTAAGGAGATGGCCGCACGCTTAGATCTGGCAGAGAAGAAACGCGAGCAGACCATCACCTGCATCGCAGGCTACCAGCAGTAGCTCATCTCCAGCTACAAGAAAATGGCCAAGATCCAGCAGTTCTAGCCCGAAGATCTAGTCCTAAGAAAACCTTCATCACTACCCGCAGAGAAGGCTCCAAAAATATAGATCCCATCTGGGAAGGTCCGTACAAGATCAGTGGAGTAGGCAGTAAGAGTAATTACACCATCGCCACCAAGAAACGACAAAAAGATCGAAAAGGAGTGGAGCGCCTACAATATGAGGAAGTACCATGTGTGACCTCCCACTTCATTAAAGCTCGAAGACTCAAGCAGCTCGACGGGCACCACCTTACAAGTCGAGGACTATCCAGTTGTTATGCAGTTCCTACCTTACAGTTAAGTTCTCATTCGTTTCACTTGTTTTTCAATGAGGAATTCAGAAGTAATCACAACTTGGCTCAGCTGCATGCTTACAACAACTGATCACTTCTGCACTTCAAAAGAATATCGTGCCCTTATTAGGGACTTATAATAGGATTTGCGCCCTCTGAGGGACCAACCATGCTCTCCAGTGCGAGAGGGTAAACTAATTGCTTTCCTTGAATAGGTGCTGAATCTCATCCTGATATATCATGTGAACTTCGTAGTTTTAGCATTGGGTCCCACTGGGTGTGCCAAAATGTTGACCCTAAAAACTACCAAGCCTACGTGGCGCGCAAGTCGAATAATCTATGAGCTAACTACGTCCTTCTGTTGAATGCGGGGCGTGCCAACTCGTCGGTCGAGCTCGGTCGAGGAGTAAAATTTGTTGATGTTGCGTTGGGTGCGCTGCTGACTTCTGAATCTCACGACTGCGGCTGAGGAACACTCTCGGCCTTCGGGTTCTAGAGCCTGAAGACAAGGCTGCTAGTTCTGCGAAGTTCAATATCACATTCGGCTTTCAATGTGCCGAATGTAATAACTTGTAACACCTCACTTCGCCGAAAAGGCTAATAAGATGACCTATGCCAATAAGGATTCGAAAATCCTTCTCGACCGAGACTTGGACAGATAACCAATCGGCCCTGTTGCAGTACTGTTTATCCAAACTGAAGGTGCTTCACGGTCGACTGATTCTACGGCAACAGTGTTGTTTATCCAAACTGAAGATATGTCGGCGAAAAAGAAAATAAAAAAAAATCTCAAAGTTGTTGAGAGGGTTTACGCAGGGCAGTTTTGTGTGTTGAGTTGGAGGTCCTTTTCCCGTTGCCATTGCATCTGTATTTATAGGACTGAAGTACTTGGCTTGCACGGTCAGATAATGTTGCAGAGTTTAATTGCAACTCTAATTCCTAGAGTTGATCCGTGTCAAAAGCCAAAAACCAAGGTATATCCTTCAAACTGAGCCGTGAGATTTGTTCCAAGACTTTTCAAACTTAATAAAAGTCCATCTAGGCTTATCACATCACATTTCTAGCCCAACTAGGCTTCTTATTTCTTGATAAAAGAAAAACCATCATTAGCCATGCCTTATCTGACCACCAAAACACCACAGAAAAAGGTCCAGCGTACTTATGTTCCCTATGCCATCATTATCCATGACTATTATATCTTAGACTTATCACATCACTACCAAAAGCTAAGCCTATCTAGGCTTCTTCATAATCCATCCGTGCATGCATCCTGATCCCCTTTCTTTAATATTAGCTTGCAGCATATCCAATCCATACGTCCACACAAATCCCAACTCAATTTGAACTGTACCGCTTGCTTAGGGATATAATTCGCACCGTATTTATCTGTTTAAGAATATGCCAAGATAATTCATATTAAAAGAATAATTATTATGATAAAAACCATAATATTATTTTTTAACAAAATTATCTTCACTTTTCCATCCGACGATCGGGAGCTATGCTCACTCAATGGCCTTGATTGCTCGGGCCGATGATGTAATTTTCGGCCCAAACAATATCACAGATACATATATAAACACAGAGGATAGTGCGTAATACCTTGTCAACATGGACATTTTTTTGTTGACTCAAAAGTGCTTGTAACTTCTTAAGCATGTTTACAGCTTCTTGGCATGAAACTTTTGTATGCTTTTAGAGATTAGGTGTCTCTCTTTTTACATTTTTTACATTTTGGAAATTTGCACGCTCTACTACTACTGTAATTCTTTTGTATACATGCAACTTTCCTTGAGGATATAGAAGTTTTACTATAAGACAGTGGATAACTTGATTTAAACACGTACTAGGAAGTCTTTGCACTTGAACCCGCAATGTGTTTTTTTTTTTTTTTTTTTAATCTAAATTGGAAAGTGCGAGCCTCAATTATCGTCGTTGTCATAGTAGACGGCCAAGCCTAGGGTAGGGGGTAGCTTATTTAGGGGATCTCATTACGTGCCAATATTTTCCTCTTTCATCTGTGGTACTTACTTTCTTCAGTCTCTTGGAGTAATATTAACAGAAGGAGGACGAACAGTTATTTAAGGTATAAACCACCAAGAGAATAGTAGTGAAAATGTGGAGTTTGGTGGGATTGAGTTTCTTGGTGTCTTTGGTAGTCATATTCATTACTCCTTGGATTACCAAATGGAGGTATCCGAAATGCAACGGAGCTCTGCCTCCAGGTTCTATGGGCCTGCCTTTCATTGGAGAGACTCTCAGTTTGATCATCCCAAGCTACTCCCACGATCTTCTCCCATTCATCAAGAAGAGAGTTCGAAGGTAATACATATAATTGCTCCTTTTGTTTGTTGGAAATGGATATTGCTCTAAGTACTTGTGTTCGTAAAGAAATAAAACATAATGATTGATAAAGAAAAATCTAGCTTATAACCCAAGTTAGTTACCTACCTAGCTAGTTTCATAGAGAGGGTGTTCTTTCCTTTGCTGCCTTGCAGATATGGTCCCATATTTCGGACTAGTTTGGCGTGTAGATCTGTTGTCATCTCAACCGATCCTGAATTTAACAGTTACATATTTGAACAAGATGGGAGGCTAGTTGAAGTATGGTACTTGGACACATTTTCCAAGGTTTTCGATTTTGAAGGTGACTCGCGGAGGAATGCAGCTGGTATCATACACAAGTACATAAGTCGGATTTTCACCAAACATTTTGGTGCTGAGACCCTTAAGGAAAAGTTGATTGCTCAAATCGAAGAATATGTGAACCAAATTCTACGTTCCTGGTCAAGTCAGGCATCTGTTGAAGTGAAACATGCTAGCTCAGCTGTAAATTAAAGTCCCCTTTAACTTAATCACCTTCTAGCTTAATCCATTAGTTTTAATATGATAGACTGCTATTCTTAAAATTCTAATTCACGTATACACTTTTCCCTTTGCAGATGTATTTAGAGTTTACTGCAAAGCACATGGTAGGTTATGATGTTGAGAAATCACCGGTTAACCTGGCCGAGAAATATCGTAGATTCATCGATGGTCTTATGTGCATTCCCTTGAATATTCCTGGTACAGCACATTATAATTGTAGACAGGTAATATTCAAAATGGACTACTAAATCAAGCAAGCAAAATTTGGTTCATTCAGGATATTACAGGAAGCTTCATAGTGCTTTTGGTATTTATTCAGGGCCAAAAGGCAGTGACAACCATGCTGAGAGATATGCTAAGGGAGCGACGACACGCTACATCAGAGACACGTCGAGAAGATTTTATTGGTCAAATCAGCAATGACATGGATAAAGAGAAGTTCTTGTCAGAGGACTTTGTTGTTCAATTGATGTTTGCGGGCATATTCAACGCCGAGAGTATTTCACCGGTATTGGCATTAGCTATTACTTTACTCACAGAACATCCTTCAGCCTTACAAGAGCTGACTGTAAGTAAACAAAGTTAATTTTATCATCAATTCAGAGTTCATATCTCCTGTACTTAAGATAGTAATGATCATTGGTTATGTTTTATCATCAGGCTGAGCATGAAGCAATTCTGAAAAACAGAAAAGATCCGAATTCCTCACTCACATGGGACGAATACAAATCGATGAATTTTACCCTTCAGGTAAAGAGTTCTACAATCTCCATATGTTACTTTCTACCTTGCACAATATTATACTGTGGTGAAATTTTTGAAGAAAGTAAAATAAACTTGACAAAAAATAAAATAAACAAAAGTTTGTTTATATTACCAAGTTAGTGGTTCTACTACTAATACCACTGCGGCAAAAGTCTGATAACTTGCTGGTCTTTTGTAAACATAGGTTGTCAACGAAACTATTAGACTGATAAATAGTGCACCTGGCTTATTCCGTAGAACTGTGAAAGATATTACTGTAAATGGTACGTACTTGCAAATACACACAGCTTATTGGCCTTTTTTCCCAACCGCAAAAAGTTTTTCACTAAAATGTTTAAGCAAATGCTTTGCAGGATTTACAATTCCAGCAGGTTGGAGTTTAATACTTGCTAGCTCTGCACTTCACTTAAATCCCAACATATTCAAGGAACCCGCCGAGTTCAACCCGTGGCGTTGGAAGGTGCGAGCGTGGGATTGTGATTCCCATTTTACTCGGCATAATTTCAATTTTTAGAAGCATGAATCACAATAAAAAACTCAGGCAGCTAACTTTGTTCTATATGTATGCTGGAAATTAGGACCTTGACTCGGATACTATATCCAAGAACTTCAAGGCTTTTGGTGGAGGAATGAGACAATGTTCAGGAGCAGAGTACAGTAAAGCGTTCCTGGCCATCTGTCTTCATGTGTTGGTCACCAAATATAAGTACGTATTTCTTACTTTTCATTTCGTTTTCTCAAGATCAATTAGGGAAATGATTTTTTCATAACACTTTTCTTCTTCTTTCACACTCTATTTCTTTTTGTCTCGTTATTTTCTTTTGATTTCTTTAATCCCCAAGCCAAAAATGAACCGAGGTGTCTAGGAAGAGAAAAATTGTGTGGAAATTGTTTGGGCCATAAATAAAAATAAGTACTATGAGGCCTATGATTTATGCAAAAGTCACATGACTTTAACCCATCAACTTCGAAGCTCAAACCAAGGCCTGACAACCATCCCACTTCACTCCTTCATTGAGTATGGTAATTTACCATCACCACAGAGAAGCAAGGGAGTGAGGTGGAGGCCAGAGCCTGTGGAGAAGGCAGAGACGGAACCTAGGCCGTGAAGGCATGAAAAATCCAGCGAAGCCTAAATCCCTGAACCTTGAGCAAGGTGTTAGGATGGTTCTGGATTGTTCACCAACACCAACATAGCGCATTAGGCTCATACTGGATCGCCAGAAGAGAGGTGTGGCAACAATCTATTTTAAAGGGAAAATTACGTTCGTCCAATTGGACAAGCCTGCCTAATCTAGGATTCACTCTTCTCAGCCTACCATTCTGACACACATAGCTAAACAAAGATTCACCATGTGCAGCCAAACAATTATCAAGAACAGAAATATCTCAGGAAAATTTGAGGTCGTTTGTCTCTGATACAAAGAAAAAAAGAAGAAGTTAACTTCCCTTTTTAATCGCTCAAAGAAGACACTGGTGATGAATTATCATTGAAATGGGAAAACGAAGCGCAAGGATCATGACAATTGAGAGATCTGTCGTCAAAACGTTAATTGCAAATTTTGGAAATGTCAACTTACAACTTTATCTTGGACAAATACCCATACGTCTTTGCAATATCGGTTTGCTCCCCACGTCTAATCAGCGAGCATTGGTAGACATGATTGAATTCGAAGAGATTTCGTCAGATACTGAGTAGGCAAAGTCAGTTGTGATGGTCTACAACATGCTAGTAACATCAGTTGGCCCTGGATTTCCGTATTGCCTTGGACACTCCATAATGGGTCAAGTACTCGAAATGGGAGCCTTATAGGCCATTTGGGCAATACTGTTATCCGAAGGGAATACTAAGTTGGTTAGCAACACAGATTTAAATATCGCCGATAATATCGATTTTTCCGGTCGGCGATATTTTAACTGGTTTCCGTGGGGTTTTCGGCCAAATATCGCGATATTATCGATAATATCGATAATATCGCGATATTTGGAAATTATCGGCGAAATATCCATGGACGGTGGAATCGGAATCCGAGGCGACGTCGGAGAAGAACGCCGGAGACCGTGGGGCGATTCCCGGGCCGGTTTCGTCCCAAAAACCTTGCAAAAACACAAATCTTAACATTAATTTCACAAATATACATCAGATTTCACAAATATACAAACGATTCAAGGCAAGGTGAAGTCGGAGAGATTAGGGTTTAGGGTTTCATGGAATCTCACCTGACGAAGCGGAATACGAACGATCCTTGCTCCGCGGCGCACCTCTGACTTCGCCTGAGCCACGATCAACGGCGATCTCTGTGTGTGTGTGTGTTTGGGAGAAGAGAGATCGAAGAAGATGGATCCAGAAACCCGATCGAAGAAGAAAGATCCAGAAACCAGATCGAAGAAGAAGGATCCAGATCGCGGGAGAGACGAAGACGGAGAGACCGAGGGAGAGACGGAGACGGAGAGACCGAGGCAGAGATGGAGACGGAGAGACCGAGGGAGAGACGGAGACGGAGAGACCGAGGCAGAGACAGAGACGTAGAGACGGAGATGGCGATGAGGTGGTGTCGCCGTTGATGTGGTGTGGAAGTGAGGGTGTGGGTTGTTCACGGGGAGAAGGAGAGAGTGCAGAGAGTGCAGAGAGTGCAGAGAGGGCGAAGAGGGAGAATGAGGGTTGTTCACGGGGAGAAGGAGAGAGTGCAGAGAGCGATGAGGGGGTGTCGCCGTTTAAGTGGTGTGAAAGTGAGGGTGTGGCGTGTGGGTTGGTTCACGGGGAGAAGGAGAGAGTGCAGAGAGTGCAGAGAGAGAGCACGGTAGAGATGAGAGAGTGAGGGAAAAGAGATATCTGAGAGAAAAGAGAGACGGTGACACAAAAGCAAGGTGGGCCCTGGGCACACCTATTAAGATCAAAAAATAATTTTAAAAAGTAAGATAAATGAAAATACAATTTAAATTGAGGGTGGGTGTAACAATCTACCCCTCTTAAAAGAATTTCGTCTCCGAAATTTAAAATTACTTACTAAAACTGAAATACTAGAAAATAGGAAGAAGAATATATGTATAAAGAGAAATCAAGTCCAAATAATTACATCATATTAAAATTTGATTAATTTTTTTTTCAGTTACATATATTCTATATGATAAATTTCTATTTTAAAATCAAGTCCAAATAATTACATCATATTAAAATTTGATTATTTTTTTTTCAGTTACATATATTATATATGATAAATTTCTATTTTAAATCAAATCCAAATAATTACATCATATTAAAATTTGATTATTTTTTTTTTCAGTTACATATATTATATATGATTAATTTCTATTTTAAATCAAGTCCAAATAATTACATCATACTAAAATTTGATTAATTTCTTTTCAAGTATCTACTTTTGAACTACTCACCGCGTTCATTCTATGTGATGCTAAGTCACTCATGTATCTTACCATACAATGTATAAAGTGTAAAATATTGTACTAATTCATTATATATAAATGATTATGGTGTGTTTAAACTTATTTTATTAATTACTACATATTTTCTACACTTACAATGTTTGCCAGCTTGCTATATAATCAACTTAAATCAGTTAAATCCATCATGCAATGCATTTCCTTCCAATTTTTTATGATAAACTAATAGATAATTGACTAAATAAACATCCTGCAAAGTTTCAATAAAAATTTCCAAGTTTTTCTTACAATTTCCGTGGTTTCCATGTAATTTTTATCGATATCGATATTTTACCGATATTTCCATCGATATTTCCGTGTTTTCGGACTACCGATATTTCCGATATCACCGATATTTTCTTCCTTGGTTAGCAACACGGGTCTTATCCTTAAACCAGAAAGTTTAGTCCAAGGTAAGGGTTGAGCTACCAACCTCATCCAACACTCACTATTCCTCGGTGCAAGAACTTTGACCCTAGGTATTTCTGGGACAAAAGCTGTGCAACATCGTCTCCACTCGATGAGCCAATGACTAAGGTCAGGGCACCTAGGGTAAGGAGAAGGCGAATGTAAACCGTTCCCAAGGAAGTTATGATTAAATCACTGGCACGATTAGCAAATGATTATCCTCTCCATATCCTTTCTTTCTAACCTACCAAATCAGAAGATATGTGCCGTTGAAATTTGATCAAACGGCTACAAACAAGAGCTCACTTTAAAAGTTATAATAACTTCGATACAGATTCTCTAATTTGATGGATAAAGAGGAAATAATCCGGAGAGATCAATTTCCACCAAAAATTAAAGATGTCAGAAGTTAGTGGCAATCAAATCAAGTTGCACGACTTTTGATAACTTGTTCTACAAATTTAAATAGGGAAAATTTGATATGAGTCCAATTTTGTGAGCCTTTATGAGGTATGGTCCAATTTTGTTTGATTATTGACTTAGGTCCAATGACTCGTTGTACACATCACCTTATTTTTATTCTCCTGCCAAATTTATCCCTAAATGGACTAATTAAGTAATTAATATATTATTATTATTTTTTATTTATGATGATTTTTAATCCTTATTCATAGGATTATCTTATGCTTAATGATCGGATTAAGTATAGGAATTTAAATCTCTTTAATATTCTTTCATCCTCCAAAACGTTTCCTATTCTTCCTCTCTTTCTCCCTCACGATGTCTCCTTCTTATCCCTCACGATATCTTCTTTTTTCCCCTCCTCCTTGCTCCCAAGCGTAGATGATCAACGATGTCCAACCTCAAATTTCTATTGTTGGTTTGATTTGTAGAATTTATCCAATCTTGTATGCTTTAATTCTTTTTTTTTTTCTTCATGTTTCTCTGTTCTTTTTTTTTATTATTATTATTCTAAAACTCTTTCTTTCCTCTTCGTGTTTTACTCCCTTAGCATCATCTTTTTATTCATCATTTTCTATGGATCTTCTTGGTATATATATCACATTTTTTTCCTAATCTACCTCTGTGTGTTGTTTTATATATACTACCTGTGTCATGGATAAATTGTATTATCTACCTATCACACATTATTCATAATCTATCTCAATTTAATTGTGTTTTATCTACCTGTATCATAAGTTATCTTGTTCTATCTACCTTATACCATGGATTAATAGTGCACACACACATTCTTTCTTGATATTCTAATTCAAATTAAAAATATTTATCTACCTATATAACATAGGTCTTTGTTTATTGCTTATATTATAGGTTTTTGTTCATAGTCTACCTATATTATAGGTTTTTGTTCATAGGTTTTTTATATATCATTCATTTCAACTTAAGTCGTGGGTTTATAGTCATACACATGAACTTACTTTTAAATTTTTTTCCTTAAATTGTGGCTAGACTGAGGAATTCAAAGATTCAAATTTTGAAATTCAAATTTGAGTAAATAATGCATAAATTAGGAAATTTAAATATATATTTAATTTTTACTATAAAGGGCAAAACGGGAATAAGATGAGATCAATTAGACCTAAACTGGTAAGAACATCTAACTGGACTCAATCCAAAAGTAGCTGATTTTTTTGGACCTGGATCTAAATGCCCCATTTAAATATGCCTCTCACTCATGTAGGGATGACAATTTAATCCGTCAAACCCGATTCCCACAGGTAACCGATCCGAACAGTTCGGTTTCGGGAATCAAATTTTGGGTTTTTTTTTTGTTATGGGTAACCGTTGAGTTAATTATTCGGTCTTGGGTTCGGTTATGGTTATAGGGGTATCCACTCCAAACTCGTACCCAAACCGCCCCGTTTTCATTCTTTAATAAAAATTATATGTATTTATTATTTATATTTTTTTATAAAAGAATGAAATCCAATTTTTTTTCTCCAGCAACCTTAATACTCCTTGAGAGACTCAAAGGTCTTGAGCGTGCAGTGCAGTGCAGATTTCAAAGGTCTTTTATCTTTATTCCAAAAAATTTAATGCTTTCAATTTTTATGAAATCTAGAAGAACTCAAAGCCAAGAACCCAAGAAACTAGTTTCCAGCCAAGCTTTCGCACATAAGCCTGAATTCCTCTCTCTCTCTCTCTCTCTCTCTCTCTCTCTCTCTCTCTCTCTCTCTCTCTGTGAGACTACAACAACAACTACTATAACCAAAGGCCCCAATTTCCCACTCACTCACATTCTCTCATAATCTTCTCACCAGAATCACCCACAAATCTTATATTTTTCTTCCCTCTCTGTTTCTTACTACTTTCCGATTCCCTCAGCAACTCTGCAGCATCGCCATTAACGTTTCCATCAGAAGAAGCATGTGCATGATAGACGCAGAACAACTCGGTCAAGAAATGGGCAACATGGAGAATAACAATAAGAAATTGAGTTATTGTGGGCAAGGCATTAGGTGGAGCATTCATAATGGAAATACCATTACCCAATGGGGAATCCGTTACCCAACGGGTTCGGTTACGGGGAATACCCGTTCGGGTTTTTTACGGTTTCGGGTACAGGAAAAACAACCGGGTTCGGTTATGGGGATGACACATCCGAACCCAATCCGTCCCGTTGCCATCCCTACACTCACGGCCTCCTCAAATTTAAGGTGCATTGTTTGGGCCATAAATAAAATAGAAGCCCGCTATGAGCATGTCCATTTTGATTTAGGAAAAAGTCACGAGACTTCGGTCCACCAACTTTGATGCACAAACCAGGCTTGGAAGACCATCTCACTTTCCTCCAACCTGTTTGCGGCCTACATAGAAATCCCTCCAAAGCATATTTGCCACGTAGACGACCAGGGTCGAATATCTCACTTCCTTAAATGCATATGCACGCGTCATCTAACATGTTAATGCCACTACTGCAATCGTGCGAACCACCACAAGACATAGCTGAAAACCACCTACTAGGAATTACAATCACTATCCGCGCCAAAATGTCGATTTACACCTGCTCCAGCTCAGTGATATGATCGAGGTTTCTCCTTTTCCATTGCCTATAAATAGATCCAAAGGCCTTCAAGCTCCAATCCTTCTTCAAATTCAATCATTATGATTAAATGAAACATGGTGTTATTTTTCAATCAACCCAACTGCTCTTCAACAAACCTCTCGTAACTCTTCGGCTACAATCTCAAAGTCTTCTTTCAAAGCAAACACTGCCTACGATCTTTGAGATTCAAAACTTTTACAGCTCTACCACCTTGTAGTATGATTCGGTTTATGTGCAATTCCAACCACCCTGATTTTCTCTTTGAGGCACATGTTTTTTACTAAGTCCAATCCGACACACCAATGATTTCGGTGGAGTTCTATGACATTATATATGCCCTTCATAGCCTAAATCTTGCTAGACTTTTACTGCTTTCTTTACATTTTAAGTTATGTAGCTTGGCCCATCAGCCTAGATTTTATTTTTGTAAACATTTGCAATATAGACTTCATCATGAAAGGATTACATTATGTTTCTTGTTTAGTTTCGCTTTCATTTACTTTTAAGGTAAGCACACATGAAGCAATACTAAATTTTAAGTCCTCATTCGCTCGAGGCACAAATAAGAACTTAAACAAACCAGCGTCCAACTTGGTGCACAATCATTTGGCAGCCTCCGACATAAACATTATCTGTTGGCAACCTCTAACAGTGGCACATCTATTATCTCTTTCTCTCGAACCATCCCATGGTGCTAAGACTGAAAAAAACAATCGGGTCAAATACGTGTTGAGCCTAGACCAGACTCGGTTTGAGTTTCCAACAGAAATCACTTCTCTTAATTAATTAAAAAAAACTACTGTGTCTGCATGGCGTTTTACATATATAGCTTAATGATCGTTTGAATTTTTGTTTTCATAGGTGGGCAATGACCAAAAAGGCAAAGATTGTTCGAAATCCAACGTTAGGATTTGGAGATGGCATTCACATTAAGCTCGAGGAGAAGAAAAACTAATCTACATTAGTGTTTAAAATGGAAAGTAATTATGGAAGAGTGTGTTTTAAACAACATAATTAATTTCTTATCGTTTGCTTCAATGTTTTGGATGGGAGATGGACTAACTCTTCCATTCCAACTGGCTTGTTTTAAGGAACATATACTTTCTTATCGTTTGCTTCAATGTTTGGATGGGAGATGGACTAAATCTTCTTCCTTTCCAACTGATATATATGTAATATATGGTTTCTTCTTCTTGAGCCGTAAAACTGTTGAATGATCCAAAAAGCCAAAATAAAAATAAAAATTTGCACCATATGATGTGGTAAATGATGCGCATAACCAACATCATATGAGATAGATTCATTAATTGACATGCCGTACACATTCACATCATGTGGTACGCAAATATGGTAAAAAATGCAGCTTCTCTAGCATTTTTCATTTCATTTTTAGTGTAATTCTTCTTGAGCAACAAAATTATATATAATACGCACCAAAGTAACATATTCCAAAATCAAAAATGTTTTTCACACCAGCAATTTATGATTTTATACATACAGCGAGCCAAGTATTTTTCATTCATCAAAGTCAAGGCCATGCATGTGTATGGCTAATCACCACAATGCGAAGGGCATGAAGAAGATGAAGATGCCACTTTAAAATTTGAGGTGAAACATTAGCGGTTTAATCTATTGAATCGTCCAAATTTGACCCAAGCCGTTTACTATTATTGCACTTCATGTGTGTTTATGTCAATATATATATATAGACAAACAATTTAAATAGCAATTATGAGGTACAACCAACTCAAGGATAAACATGTAAGATTGGTGTGCTTGGAAGTTGAGAGGATACATACTAAACAAGCCACTAGCATGCCAAACATGAGTGAAGCAACAATCAAGCAATATAATACCCACTTCATGGAATATAGAGAATTAGAAGGAGAAGGGAACTTGGAGCTCAAGACTTGAATGCCTATAAAATTATAATAGTTCCATCACGGGTGGAGCCACCCACAAGGCTAAGGTGGGTTGTAGCCCAGGCAGGTTTTTTGTAAGTGTAGTGCTATCTACACATCCATTTTTATTTCTCACACATCTCTTTCAATTTTTGGCTTTCGGATCGAATGAATTGATGAAGATCAATGACAAAAAATTAATAAGGGTGTGTGAATAGCACTATCCTTTTTTAAACTCATGATGACTTATGTTAATGCATGTAGCCTGTATAGCCCACTCAATTCCAATACAGTTATTGTTTCATGTATATTTAGTAGAGGATAGGTAATAAAAATTATACATTTTATGCTAAAAATAATAAATTAGTTCAATCTCCCCTCCCCCTTCTATCCTATTCATTAAAGAAAAAAGACTATTTATTCTATGCGATTTAGCCTATGTACTTCTTACTCAAGAAAAGAAAATTATTTTTCTTTTAGTTCACAATTAAATCCTTATCTCCACAATTCGTTACTTTTCGTTGCGATTTTCCAATAAATGTAACATTTCGTACGTTCTTAATTGCTTTATTTACTTATTCTTGATTTATTTCGTAGGTTAATTATTAGGAAAACTAATGAAAATGGCTTGAAAACTTTGAGTTTTAATCAAAATGACAAAAAGGTGTTGTAAGTGAATAGTGCCATGAGTGACTTTTTAAAATAAAATTGTCTTTGTTCGTTAAAGTGAACAGTACCGAGAGTGTTTAGTTAAAACTCCCCTTATTATTTACATGGTCCTTGAAATTGTCAGCTACAGTTATCTCAAGAATTGTTTATATTTTATTGTTGTCCTTTTATATTGATTATTATATAATTTCACATAAGAAAAAAAAGAGTTTTAACGAAACACTTCCTGTACTGTTCACTTTTAACGAAAAACCACATTTTTACCTTTCCCTGGTACTATTCACTACACCTTTATTTGTCATTTTTTATTAAAACTAAAGTTTTTTTGAACTTTTAGTTAGTTTTCCTAAAAAATAAACATACGATTTCATGGTACTAATTTCAACTAACCCACTCAAGAAAAAAAAAACCTAGCTCCGCCCTTGAGTTCCATTAGGGGAAAAAGGAGAGAGAGGTATGAGATGTTCTATACAAGCATCCGAAACAAACACTAACTTGAGTGTCGGAGCCCTCATTGATCGCAAGCAAATATGGTGTCTAAAGCTTCTCAACATGTTCAAGATTCTTTGTTGGTGGAGAATTAAAATATCTAAAATTTTCCGCTCCAACAATGATATATTCTATATTCAGTCCAAGGGAATAGTTGAATGTGCAACCAAAAATTCATGAGGGAAAAAAATTAATGTTTGATTACATCCTCCCATTTATATATGAATACGGGACTCTATAAAATCAAAATCATTCATAGATTGATATCCAATACTTTCAGCTCCAGAGAGAAATGGAAAGTTGCAGTAGACGACATACATAGCCGTTCAGCGGAGGTGCCTTCTTATTTTACATGCATAGATTTATTATGCATTCTTTCGAGTTTAATTATGTTATGTTGTCACACTGTCAATTTGTAAGTCATGTTGATCGGGTATGCATAAGCAGGCTTATCTTGAACTTTGTGATCCTCTGCATCGGACGGTTTAATGATTTTCCAAACATTCCTGAATTCCCAATCCACAAGGGGCCAGAAGCATTTCATGGAGAGGTTATGGATTACCCCACCAAGGATTACGAAAGCGCGCGCGTAAATACGTGAAACGAAAGCAAGCGCAACAGTTGCTGGGTTTCAGAAATCTGCATTGAACATTGCAAAGGAGTGTTCAGAATATAGTGATCATAGTTTGTTGTATTTGTAAGAAATTCCAAAAAAAAGTGAGCTTCATCAGTTCATATTATGGTGCAACTGTATATATGAACATAATGGTTGTATTCAAAAGACTTGAAATGGCACACACCAGATAAATGCCAATATGAGAGGGAAAACTTGAAAAACTAATTATTTGAATTAAGAGGCAGTTACATGAATGAAAAACTGCTTGTAACTGACATCCTTAATGGAAGGATAGGTTACAATATATATGTCGTGGTGGTCCCTCTTCTCAGGTGTGAGATTCCAATCACTTGCAAGAATACAAAGATTATCCAAGAGAAGAGAAGACAAAGATTATTCTTAATAACTATGTCTTCGAATACCAATAAGTGACTACTCTTAGTTATTGAAACCCTCAACATGCACACAAATTGCTTGTAATTAATGCTATAATTTTGGTTCATTAGGGTTTGGTTGTTTTTCGATCTTTAGAAATCCTACATGTGGGTTTTTTTTTTTTAATTGAGCACATCAATATTTTTACACTAACGCGCACGCGGGGGGGGGGGAGAGTTCAGCTAAGCCACACAATGGGCAACCTAATTTGGCATCAAATTCGCCATCTACGAGATTCGAACATAAGACCTCTCACTTCCGATTGAAGATGAATACCACCAAACCATAGTACTGAGTGGCATCCTACATGTGGTATTAGAGCCACACAATTCAAACCCTAGTTATGAATATGCTTATGTGTATATTTCTACTCTGCAATAATGATGGTTTATATTGAACTTGTGTTATATATTGGTCGCTGCATTCATACCTTAATGTTGTTTGTCTTCATAACTTACATATATTATACAGATATGCACTCTATGATTCAAGAATGTGTATCTATACACACTATATCTGACTATACATATTTTGAATTTTGATAATGTATCTGGTTTGCAATCGAGATTGAGGTGGTTTGAACATGTGAGAAAATCGGTTACGGTAGTTTAGACATGTGAAATAAAGGCCTACAGACGCTCTGGTTAAAAGATGCAATTACAAGAAAGAGGTTCAAGACCGAAGTGGTAGAGGAAGACCTAGGAAGACTTGGCAAGAGACTCTAAGAAAAGACTTGGAGTACTTAGATCTAACGGAAGATGTGACACTGAACCGAGAGTAATAGCATTCTAGGATTCTTACAGCCGAGCCCACTTAGTGGGATAAGGCTTTGTTGTTATTGTTGTTGTTGTATCTGGTTTGCAATCAAGTACAATTATGCAGATTACACTATAGTAATCACACTTGCAAACATAACAGATAAAGAGATTTTGGAACTAATTTAGTGTAAAATCAAAGTGTATGACTAGATTATCATCTCAGAATTATATAATGATAATAATGATAGTGGTCTACACATATTAACAAGTAAAAGAACTTCCAAAGAAGTCCATTTACTGGGTTCATTTGAGTTTTATGACTTGCCTAAAGGTGTGACTAGATCCATAAATTAAGAATGACAAGACATGTTGCAGAAAGTTCTTAATCATATATTTATGAAGTTTTTTTCAAAATCATTTTGAGTAACAGGTTTCAATATGATGAGTTAGGTGAATGTTGAGAAGTTGAATGGCAACAACTTCAAAACTTGGAAACAGCAGATTGAAATGAATCATGGAATGTTGGAATTCAATGTTGCATTCAGAGTTTCTTAGCCTGCAGCACTGACTGAAGAAAGCACTACATAAGAGAAAGAGTTTTTTACAAAATGGGAAAAGGCCAATCAAATGTCCTTGCTCATAATGCAAAACTCAGTGGAGGAACATGTGGGAGGTGGAATTCCTAGCTGTGATTTGGCTAAGGCTTATTTGGACAAAATAGAGGAAAAGTTTAAAAGATCGGACAAAGCTGAAACTGGTGTACTTTTGTCAGCCTTGATCAACACCAAGCATGATGGTTCTGGAAGTGTTCGAGAACACTTGTTGAAGCTGGTTAATCTTGCCAACAAATTGAATGCCATGGACATTGGCATTACGGATCAGGTTCTTGTGCATATGGCACTTTACTCACTTTCCACTAATAATGAGCAGTTCAAAGTGAGCTATAACACTCAAAAGAAATTCTATAGTGTAAATGAACTCATCTCCATTTGTTGCCAAGAAGAGAAGAGACTGAAAAAGTCGAAAACGGATAGACAAGAGTTTGCCAATCTTCTGAATGTTGGAAAAGGCAAGGGTAGGATCACTTCAGTTCCCAGGAATGACAATTACAAAGGGAATAAGCCATTTGGATTCAAAAGAACTGATTCTACGGGCTGGTTTGGTATTGTTGTGCTTTGAAAAAAAGGTGCTGTGAGAATAAGCGGCTGTGCTGTGAGAATAAGCGGCTATGAAATAAATCAGCAGAGTGTTTGGTAAACTTTTTTGTAAAAGTGCTTTTGGAAAAAAAAAAAAAAGCAGTCTAATAGTGGGTCTTTTCATTAAAGAAGCACTGTAGCT